CTCGAACATTGAAGAAGAGACAAAAGTTCAAGATTTTGAGGATAGTTGCAGCCTTGACCTTTGGTCATGGGGTTATAGAAAGTAACTTTCTATAAATTTTGTATTTATAATAAACAGATATTTGCTTTATTCATGTTTGCTGTAAATCTATTTTACTGTAATTGATGGCCATATACTTGTGATCTGTACTTTTGTAAAAACACTTCTTGGACTTAAAAGTTTTGAAAGATGCTAGAGATGCTCAACAAAACAATACTAAGTCTTGTTTCTTGTCAAATTTGAAAATGCTTTGGAATGCGTATAGTAAAATAATTCAGTGATGCAAGTAATTCAGTTAAAACTGACTTTATAATTCTAAGGTCAACTGTTCAGAGGGACCTTGACCTAGTTTCTTGACCTCTCATTGGATGGCGTATTAAAGTCTTATGTCATGCTGTAATTGGAGCATAGCAGATAACTCTGCATGGGTAGAGATTGCTATTTCCTCTGTAAAACAATATTCCTTTCATATGCTCAGAAAAGAAGAGGTTAAAGGTAATTTAATTTAATTCCAGTTTAATTAACACTAATTATAAAAAACAAAAAGCTAGATGTATATGTCCCATATTTTAGTATTAGTATAGCCTGGATTACTGTTGATAAGGTCCATGCTAAATATCAAGTACTGTACATGACTCTTCATCTTTTAAGGAAAGGGACTACAGTATTATTTTTTTTATAGGCAGGGCTAACATTAATGTGACCTCACTGTCTGACTTATAAAAAGTTAATGTGCCAGTAACAGTTATTTACTGGGTGTTAGGAAATTTAAGGCAGACTTCCACTTTGTTTCTAAAGGTGTTCAGAGCTGGGGTATGACCCAGCATATAGACTGCTCATTTCTGGATCTGATTCAAAAACTATTAAAGAGAGCAGATATGTATTTTAGGGTGCACACCCAAAATATAATATCTCAAGGCTGACAGATGTAGATAATTACAGATATCATAACTGTAGATAATAATGGAAAATGATTGACTGTTATACTTTGACAGGTAACAAAAAGTGAAAGGCAATGCAGTATTTTTCTATGCTGTTAATTATTCCGGTATAAACTGACATTTCATATTCATTACCATCATAAATGCATCGGTACACCAGCTCATTGAACAGATTTCTCGACAATGAATAACTGCACATGATGCACTGAGAGAGGTACTTTATTTTTTTAATGAGATCATCGAGAAATGTGATTGTTGGGTGAGACAGAGGGGAGGAAAATTATCTAGCATGTCAATAAAGTTTTGAATTTCTTTACACTTCACACCCAGTTGAATAAAATGGCTAACAAATAACTAAAAGTATATCTTTTGGAAATCATGTAAATGAAGTTTTGTATTACTTTCTGAGTTGGATTTGAATAATTCGGGGTACCTCAGTATAATTTTAATCCCAAAGTCTCCGAAGTATTAAAACTCTTACAGAAACTTTGTTTAATCTTGAATATCTTTTTTTTTTTAAAAATTCTTTATAATTTTTCCTTCACATTTTTGACCTTAGAAAAAAAATACGAATGCATAAAAAAAGTCCCGAAAAAGGAGATGTAACAAGTTTGATAACATTGAAATGAGACATTACGATTCTGACTGTGACCTCTCTATGACTTTCCTTGGCTGTCGCTGTGGGTATACTATTAATGACAGAGTTTGTATGAGTCAAAGCTCCTTAGATTTCAGTCCCACTGGGCCCTTTTTATAAAAATTTATTATCCATAAGGAAAAGCTGGTCTTTTTCATCTTATATCCCACAATCATACAATTATATCCCCCTGCTGCGGAATTGTGATTGAATTGCACGCAACTGTGGCCCATTAGAGGATCTTTGAATTTTCAAGTGTGTTTGTCAGCTCTTGTAAGCTTTCATACTTTAAGCATCAGGTATTGTCATATTTAATATGTCTTTGAAGAGTCTTGGTCTTCATACACTTTGATATTTCAATCTTTTTATATATGTAATACTTATATGGCAGATATTTTCTTGTAATAATCAGGCTTCATGCAGTCGGCTGTCCAAAGAAAATGGGTCTAAAAAGGAACTTTACTGAATGGGCATAAAAATCCATTTTTTGGTGGGGTGAAGTTTAAAGTGGAAGACGCAAAAATTTTATCTAAATTACATATTTTAGGTATTAATTTTAAAATCCCTTTCATTACATCAAATGAACAATGCTGAATCATTTATAATATCTATATTTCTGGTCATAGGAAAGTGTACATGTACCAGTTATTAAATTATACACAGTAAAACATGGTTATAGCACACACACTTAAAAAATGAAGAAATGCTTACAGTGAAGATATTTTCATGGCATTCAGAATCATCACTATTCTAATTTCATTTTCAATAATAAAAAATTCTGCACTAACACTGTTTTAATATTAAAAATTTTTAGGAAAAAAATTCACGACCTACTAATCCATTTACCAGGAATTTTTTTCATCCTAAATTAGGAAAGCCTGAAAGAGAATTATTAATTTTTTTATGTGGCCTTTCTATGCTTAAAATCAAATTAACCAATTTTTCCGTGGATATATTTTGTATGTAAAGAAAGATCTTCTTTCTTTATTTTTTCACATCTTCATAAGATTAATCTGTTACGTATCCTCTTAGATGACACATCTCAAAGCCCAGGGTTTCATTCGGGTAATAACTTTTCAACATTAATCTTTGAATGGAATCTTTGTGTATGCAAGGGAGTTTTAACTCTTACCTAACCTCCTGTGTAAGTCGAATAAAGAATGGAGGACTTTGGTCGTAATAAATTTGGTTAATACCAAAGTTGCTTAGAATTTCTGAATGCTATAATGAAGTATTTTGAGCCATAGGATTATATGATGCTTTTTTGAAGGAGTGTTATCTGTTTTGCCTTGTTCAAAAAATTACGAAATAAAATCCGCCACTGGACAACCTCGTAGGGAATTTTCTAGGCTTAGAAATGGGTAAATAGGAAAAAATGATATCTTTTTCTCATTTTGATATAAAACCTTACTTTATCAATCCTTTCTTTTCACATGGGGTCTTTAGGAGATATTTTTAAGTAACAGATAAAGATATTGAGATATTTTTAAAAGTATACGCCTGTGTGTCACTTGGGATCAATTCCTATCTAAGGATATGTGGCCATAAACAGGGATTATCCTACAATTTTTCACAGTTGTATTTGTAGAAGTCATTGTATGCCTCATTAAAAGAATATTAAGTTTTCTGTCAAAAAATAAAGTGTTTATTTCATTTTTACGTTAGAAAATTGCAGATATCAAATGAAGGGATTAGAAAAGCAATCTGAGAAACTCTTCAACACAAAAGATGGATATACTTACGATGTGTATCTTAGAAAAGCAATTTAAATTGTAATAAAGTGTAAAAGTATACAGAAAAGACAATTTATTCATAATGGTCAAGCAATGTATTTTTTTCACAACTTAGAATGACAGAGGAACTTTGAAAAAGTATTTTATAATATGGAAATATTTTCTTGGTAGTCAGTGTACATGTGATTTTAAAAGTCTTATATTAAATCTGTGATGTTGAATTCAAATTAAAGATCATAATAGTTGCTTGAAGTGCAACTGAAGAGCACATATGCTTTTGTCGAGATTTTGCGGGTTTGTTTTTCATCGCGATTATGATCTTTAGAAACACATACCGCAAAACTTAAATTACAGAGCATAAATGTACAGTTAAATGCCAAAGTCGTGCATTATAGAAAATGTTGACATGCTTATTGCTAATAAGATCAAAAGAGTTGGTTTAATGTTAGAGTTGCATGATGGTACCTTGTCCTATCTTGATACAGTTGAAAGCTAATCTGGGTGTTTATCGGGGGCTGTTATCGGAGACCATTTCAAATGATTGGTCAAATACTGAGGAAATTCTGAATGAAATTCCTCTTGTAACAGAATTGATAGTGGGACTGTACCCTTAACAGATTTTGATTACAGAAATTTGTACTTTTAATGAGCTTATCTTTTTGAGTTATTGTAGGACAAAGTCTTATTTTGTCTGCATATACTTTGATATTATAGGAAGTTTTTATAGGCAAATGCAGAGGTGTTGATAATTTTTTAAAAGAGCATGTACTTGCTATATATGTAATGTTTTGAAATGAATTCCCATTAATACAATTTCAGCTTAAATTGACCAGAAGGGGTCTTTTGACTGCATACAATGATGACTATTAAAGGGGTCCTCAATGATCAGAACATGTATATAATTACATCATCATTTGGAGGTGTCGGGTAGAAGGTTTTGGTTACAGAAAATTGTCACCGGGCCAAGAACGTTTTTTAAAGTCCCCATCGTTAGAATTTCATTCATGAGGACCAGTGAGAAAAAAATAAAGGAATGGTCTAGTGTGTCGGGTAGATTTGTTTACGATGTGAGAGAGAAGAGAGATTTAGATGGGTATCTGGCCTGCGACGCCGATTCCGAATTCATGGCATCTGTTTCCTATTGAAAGATCCCGACTAGAAGAACCGAATCTTAGTTAATTTGACAAGTAATAAAAAGATCGTTTTAATATACTTTAGAGACATTGTCAAGGGGGATTGAACAAAACCCCCGATTATTTACGTTTACAGATTCATTGATTTATTATTAGCGGTAAATAAATCTTATCTGTGAATGACATAAATTAAGGAGACACAGGAATAATGAAATCTCGGTGATTGTATGGCGATATTTGTATTCAGTTCCGCAATTGTCTAGGACTGTTTATAGAATCAAAGGTTTACATAACATTAAAGTTAATGTCAACATTTTGTCAGCTTGTAATTAGGTATAACAATGGATTAATGTTTACATTTACTGTTGCTGATGAGTAAGATATAGGTATAAGATTTAGTCTTTATTGACGTCAGATTTTATTCATTATCTTAAAACTTAGATATATAAACTTTGAGTATATAACATTCAGTTCCAATATTTTATTAAATATGATATTAAACATTTGTCATTTACAGGTGCTGTTTTATTCCATTTTAGTGGCATCAGAAGAATTTCATAAGTCAGATACACAAGGTAAAATTTTGAACAATTTTTAGCTCACCTGAGCTTAAAGCTCAATTGAACTTTTCTGATCACCAACTGGTCTGGAACTGTTTGTCAATCTGTGTAAACTTTTCACATTTTCAACTTCTGAGAATTACCAAGCCAATTTTAATCAAAGTTGGCACAAAGCACCTGTGTTAATCCTAAAGGGGATTTAAATCTTAAATGAAGGACCAAGCCCCATCCAAAGGGGTGATAATCAAGAAAAGACAAAATTGGTTGTATAAAATTATTTTTCTGAAGAAATGGGCCAGAAAAGCAAATATGTTGAAGGTTCCTGAGACAGTAAAATTTTGAACAAATCTTGACCACCTCAAAACTACAGTAGGGAATCAAAATTTTACATTGAAATATTGTGGAAAAAATCTGTAAAATCTTTTCAAGAACCACTGGCCCCAAAAAGCTGAAACTTATGTAAAAGGTTTCCGAGGTTGGTGTAAATTCTAATTTGTTCAGAGCATGACCCCTGGGATAGGGTGGGACAAAATAGACAATTTAAGCTTTACATTGAAATATATGAAAAAATTCTTGAAAATCTTTTTTCTCTAGAACCTCTAGAACAAGAAAAGCTGAAACTTAGCCAAATGTTTACTGAGATATTTTAGTTACTAGTACTACAAATTGATCAGATCGATGGTCCGTGGGGTTAGGATGGGGCCACAATAGGAATAATTTTTAAAGAAAATCTATAAAACTCCTTTTAATAAGAACAACAAAGCCAAATTAAGTGACAAACTTATGTTGAGGTTCCTGAGGCAGGCAGGGTAGATTCTAAATTGAAAAGTTCAGCGAATCTAGTGTCCGACTCTGCCTCCCTTTACAACCCAGGATAGGGTGGGACTACAGACGCGAGAAATCAGTAAAATAATTAATTTTATCGCCATTCATTTGCCATATATAGGCTGTTTGGACAAAAAATCTTGAAAATCTTCGACTTCTTTGCGCATGACGTCACACACAAATACACAAACAAACTATCACGTGAAAATATCATGTGTGCTGTTTTTTAACTTCATCTTAGCATAGGAGTCGTTTTGACAGTTTTTTTTCTTTATCAATAAATAAATGAAACATTATTATGTTGTTTTGTATATTTTTCACGACACTTTCTTACTTTTCCGAAAGGTCCACACGTGTGTTGAGCACGTGTTACTTTCAAACAGATAGGAATTTTGTGTATTTGTGTTTTACATTGAAATATATCGAAAAAATCTTAAAAGTGATGCTTCATTTGTCGGTGATAGGGCCCCTGAACCAGAAAAGACAATTAACAAGTAGGAAAATAATTATTTTACTGGGGTTTGTAGTAACTATAGTACATGTACTAAATTGATCAGATCAAGGGTCTATGGGGTGAGGTAAAGAAAACCTTTAAAACTCCTCTTACTCTCCCCCGCACAAGTCACAATATAAAAGCGGGGGTTAGAGTCAGAGGAATCTCGGATTAAGGTGAGCATTGTGGCCCTTCAGCCTGTTGTTATGATATATCTTCTTTTTTTACATGTAAGATTTTATTCAATGTTGAACAAATGAATCAACTGTTATACTCTTAGTCATCAATGTCCTTTTTTAAAAAAATAAATTAAATAATCAGAGATAAACATAAATTTTAACTTTCTCAGAAAGTCAGTGATAAGTGTGACTCAATAAAGTATGTATCATCCTACTGCATAATTTATATACCAGTAATTAACAAATATTACTTTTGTGTTACCTATATTGTATTTGTAATAATGGGGTATATTTATATTCATGACATTTGTCAAGCTGTCTCCAATAGATTCATCATCTAGAAGATCAATAGAATGAATTTGTTGCAGCACTGTTTGATTGCATGACCACGAATTAGATAAGATGTTAGTAAATTTTGCAATCATATTAGGCATTTATTGTACATGTTCAAAATTGAACAAAGAGGCATGGACTAGGAACATTTGGCACATTCATGAAGAATCCTTATCATTACTTTACATGATATTTTTACACTGCAGGAGAATTTATATTTCACTACTTTTGTGTTTAATTTTTCATAAATACTGATGCTATTTAGGGCAGTATAGTATTTACAAAGCAACCTACACATAAAACTTGCAAAATACTTAGAAAATAAGAAGACTTGTAGAATAATTTCATGAAGTACCTGGTGAATTAATGGTCTCATTTGAAATTTAACAACTATTAATAGCTACTGTACTACAATAAATAAACCAGGTACAAAATTGGTTTGAAAAACTTTTCTTCTTTTTAATTTTATTATAATTTTTTTCAATATACTTCTGCTTTCTTGAAGATCATTTGAGGTAGGGCCGAAAATACCCTGCGGAAGTGGTTGATGCATCAATAAATCACCAGTTTTAAGTATGAGAACCAGTTTCTGAGCAACACGCTCTCTATCTAACACCCCCTCTCACTAAACTCTCAATGGAAAATTGTTCAGGTTCTCTACAGGACCCTAAGTACTAGTCAATAAAGCTTAGTTTTATGGATAGAAATTATGATTTTGTGATTTACTGGTTGCCAAATGAACTTTTGGTGACTGCCTTTTTACTGCTGCAATAATTCAAGTTTTTGTCAGGTTTTATACTTTAATCATCGCTAGAACACCTGTGCCATGGCAGTTTTAACTGAGTGAAACAAATAAAATGTAATGATTCAATTATTTGAATGACCTCGTAAGTGTCCATTTTTCACCTACATGTACACAAAATCTTTGTTCAGAGAACATTCGAAAAACATTTTAAAACTGTCAAATTTTGGTGTGATTAAAAGTTCTGCAGTAATATTGATAATTGTAGGCACCTGTCAATTTGTTACTTGTATGTACATGTATGTCAATATTACAACTATTATTGATAAAAAATGAACTTTAGTGACTGAAATTTTCAGGATCATAATTGATAATTCTAATTTATTTCTAATAAGCACACATTTTTGCTTTGATGCTCTTGGAGTTGTACAACTTGTTGAATCTGACACCATGCTACAGAAATTGGCCACGGATTAGACAACATTTTGGATTTAGAAAATATTTTAAACACTCAAAGTTAACATTGTTATTGACAAGATTTCAGAATAGGCAACATCTGAGTTAGGAAAGTTTTACTGTATTCTTTTGTCTTCAAATATAGTAAAATAAAGTTGACTGCATTTGGAGAAGTACTATACACCTTTTAAACAGCATCTAGTATTGCCACTGCAGGAATGTACCCTAAATTTTTAAGTTTTGCAAATCATATGAGAAATGGTAAATGAATTAATTATCCTGAATATATATCACTTAATTACTTGGGAAATGGGGGCTGAGTCAAAAAAAGAAGTATTTAGGATGTGCGTGTCTTTTTCTGTGCAAATTAATAGCTAGTAATTACCTTGATGTTGCATTGTCAAGAATAGATTGTATAAAACTCAAATTGTCAACCAAAGAGCCTCATTTTGTGGAATTTCTAAAACAATTTGCACAACAATGTAAGCAAGGATGAGCTGATCTGTTTAATTATTTGTAGTGACATTTTTATTTCATCCCATCTTCATTCATAAAAATTATATGTGGTGGTTAAGCAAGGCAAAACTAATGCATAAATCACAATAAAACTTGATGTAAAGATTTAGAGAGGTCATGAGAAATGGTCCAACCTCTGACTTTTGTGTGCAAATTAAAAAGGAATTAAAGGAGGCCCTTAACAAAAGACATTATTCAGAGTCTATAAGGTTCTCTGAATACCCAATGCAGTGTTTGCCTTTTTAATTTTTTTTCTTTAAGTCTATCTCAGCATGGGAGAAACTTGACTCGGACCTCGGTTATTGTGTTTCTTGACACCGACTGAGATTTTAGTGTTTGTTAATCCGGGGGGTGACAGCCTCTCCAATGATCCAGTGGTTCTTTTTGGGGGTGTTTGATTATTTGAGCAACCCTGTGAGAGAATCGATGTAGAGTAGCTGATCGTTTTGTACCTATTGAAGAAGGATTTTCTCTTGGAAAAAAAAGAGTTTACAAATAAGAGCAAAGCTTTCTTCCAAATATATTTTATATAAAGTTGCCATGTATAAATGAGGGTAAAAGTCTTCATATTCATCCATTCCCAGGTTGACTTTTCACATTTCTGATTGACCATGTTTTTCTTTTCTGTTTTTTTTCATCAATTTTTGATACCAACTCAGATTTCTGATAAAAAATTACAAATACTTACAAATTAGGCATAAATTTTTCTATATAAAAAAGTGTTACTCCAATTGACCTCAATCTTGATTTTGCTGATGTTGCAAAAGTCATGCAAAAAGGGAAATGTCTCCATATTTACCCACTGGTAACTTATCAGAGAAAATGATTTGTATATCTTCCTTTGTCCATTCTGAAGAAAAATCAATAGTTCTTCAGAAGGAAAGATGTATAAATTTATTAAATTGTAATACATATGTATTTTTATTACCCTTTTTTTGCAGACTATGAAATTGTTCATCCAATCATATCAGACCTCTCAGGAAATCCTGTCTCACATCATCATCTCCATGGCAACAGATTCAAAAGAGACTCTTCAAGGACAAACACATTATACCTCAATATCACAGGTCAAGGTCACACATTTGAAATGCAGCTGACTGAAAACCATAACCTCTTAGCTCCAGGATTTAAAGTTTATCACAGGAAAAAGAGCAAACATTCCAAAAATACCACGGAAACTGTAGAACCTCAAGACGACCATCTTCCTGCAGCAAACTGTCAATATTCAGGAAAAGTGCATTCTCATGGTGGAAGGGCTGCTCTGTCATTGTGTAATGGCTTGGTCAGTATATATAAAGAAAGTTATGCATCATGTTATATTTATGGGGTCCTTGCTATTAGGAAATGCTAAGGTCAGAAAAATAGATCCTTAAAGCCCAGGGACAGGGAAATTTTTTAGCATCTTTTATTTTTTCATCAACCTGAAAAGGTGTATTGTGACTTGAGGTTACCATACACAATCTGGGCATGTCATTTTAAGATTAATAATCAAAATAAATGGGGATAAATTGCAAAAGAAAAATTTTCATTACCCTGATGAAAGGTACAACACTTTGTACATGTGTTTGTGTATCAGCTCACTAAAGATCTTTATTTTTGAAAATCGTAAAGTATAGGAATTTTTCAAGTTCATTTTAATCAATTTTAAAAAACTGTTTTCTGAAAACTGCCAGTACTTATTTTTTTCTTCTCTCTAGAGAAAAGAAATTTTCTTAAATGTTTTAAGCATAAAAAAAGATGTTAAATTTACATTCTTTTTTTTATACCGTAACCAGAAATGATTTTTGGAGAACAGACTCAGAGAGTTTTGAATGTTCTGCATATTTAACATACATGTAAATGGAATCCATCAAATGAGGAATAACACTCTCTCTTTTTCAGAAACATTAATATTTTGAATCTAAATAGGGTCACTGCATACAAGTGCAAACCATGTTGCATTTAGATAATTGCATGACTGAAAGTGAATAACAAACTTTCAATGTTTCTTAAACATGGCATTTCTTTAACTGTGTAAAAGAATACACTCAGATTTAAGATAAAATCGTAGCTTTAAATGACAACTATCACCAATAAACATTCTAAGCAGGTTGAGATAATTATGGGTTATGGGAAGTGCAAATGGTAAGGGCTTAGTAGCCTCCAGTCAAGGTTATCTCCCTTTCACTGAGATAAATATGGGGTATTATATGAATGAGTGAAAATTGGGGGTTACAAGGAAAATGTGAATGAAATTGTCCTTTCTCTTTTATTTATGAAGCGTAAGTGAGAGATTGTAGGTGAAAGAGTCACCAGACGTATTCTGTGTATCGTTGTCAAAAAGTGTGAGCATTTATATTCATAATCCCAAAAAATCCTGCCCTACATACTCTTAATGAATGTATGTGTGAATGTCAGCATTAATTATTGTATTTTTATCGTAAGTGATTTAAGCTACAAAGGTGGAAATTCATTATTCATTGAGCTTGAGTCATATTTTCTTTTTTTCTCCTTCTTTTCCATTTTTTTTTAATTCAACAGATGCTCGGCCAGACAGATCAGAGGGTGTTTTTAGATAAAAATGTCATTTTAAAAGGACATTAATGTCTGTTAAGCCGGTGTCCTATCTTGTTAGAATATTATATCCCAGTGTTATATTCAATATGGGGACAGACAGGGGTTTCCTTTGACAGTGCGATATATCTTAGTCCCGTTTGAAATGGTCAGACTTTTATGGGTTAAAGTGTCACCTGTTGCGACTCATGAAAGGAGGCTTTAGACCAGACTTTATTTATGAGATACACTGTTGGTTATGACGGTTTATGGTAGAAAATTTATTAATTTATTAAATGCAACGGAAATAATTGTATAATTTCAATTTCGATGAACACATAGGGTTTATAACTACATGTAGTACATACATTTTTATTGGATAGTTGAAAGTTAGAAGGTGGCTTGTATTTTGGTTAATGCTCTGGATGGAATCTGTTCTTATAAAATGCTGATTGAAGATATGGCACAAAATATAAAGCCAATCAGATTCATGAACTTTTCTGCAATTGAAGCCTGTGTAATTTACTACCTGTGGTACCCGGTAATAGATAGTGAAGGTTTACCAAAGTACATACCAGTATTTTAATAAATTCAAATTTCAGTGTCCTTAAAATATATATGTTAAATAAAGTTTCAATATCTGTTTTGATTTATGTAGTCAAAAGTTTTTAAAAATCCAAATACATATACATGTAACTATTGTGGGCTATTCCACTTATACTAAATGATAAATGTAGAATGAAAACAATACAATACAATCATCATTTCAGAATGGAATCATAAGGATTGCAGAAGAGGACTACATCATAGAACCCTACAAACAGCACAAGGTCAGGCCCACATTTGATCCCCTCGCTGGGCCCCATAAACTGTACAGAAGGTCTACACTGGCAGTCAGACAGACACAGTACTGTGGGAAACCTCAAAGAGGTCTGTTATCATCGGCAGGCTCAGAAAGCCTGTGTCAACTCTTTGTTATGTTACTTGTCAGAATTCTTCATGAATTATGTAAGGGACCTTTTTATGCATAATTTCCTAAAGGTGCTTTTCTAAAGACACAAAAATGAAGAGAACTCTTCAGAATTATGAGAAGCATGTGAAGGATTTATGAAAATTATGTCTCAGAAATAAATGCAGTGCTTTTGATGCTAATTTACTGTACTGAGTTACTGAATGAAAAGTTCTGATATCAGTTTAAAATAATGTAATATAAGAAATGTCATACTCTCACACAGATCACATTATTTCTTTAAATCATTTTTTTTTCTCACTCACATAAACCTGTAAAATAAGATTTGTTGTCGTTCACTGATCAAATTCAAATGAACAAGAACAAAAATACACCGACCCGCTATACAAGATCTGTAAAAATTGTACTGTACCTTTAAAAGTGCAGTTACGGTAGTTTGATCAAACACAGGATCAAAGTGAATTTAAAAGAGATAGCGTATATTTGACTGTGAAATTAGAGAAAATAGAATTTTTAATTTTTTTTTTCAAATTTCAGATAAGAGGAGCACATCTGTAGCCAAAGGTGATGAGGACTTTAAGCTGTCGGGGGAGAATTTGACTGAGTCCGTAGAGGGGGCAGAGCCTCTGTGGAAGAAGTACCAGAGAGCCATCACGGAACATGAGGAGCGGATCGTGGAAACTTTGGTGGTGGTGGACAAGATTATGTACTACAAACATGGCAAAGACAACATCACAACTTTCACTCTTACTCTTTTCAATATGGTATGAATTAAATGATTCTTAAGCTAGTCAGACATTAGTTTTTTGAGAATTATTAAATGATTATTAAATACATTTTTAATCCTTAAGAAAAGTTGAATTATTCTAAATTATTTGTTTTAGGATTTGTTTTGTTTATACAGATAATGGTTTATTTGGTTGTAATTTACAATAGATTTTGGAGCGATTTGTTTTGTTTATACTGATAACCTGGTTTATATGATTGTAATTTACGATAGGTATCAGAGCGATTTGTTTTGTTTATATTGATAACCTGGTTATTTGATTGTAATTTACGACAGGTATCGGAGCTTTTCACTGATCCCAGCCTGGGAGATAACCTGAATATCGTTCTGGTGGGGCTGGTCGTGTTGGAGGGAGATGAGGTGGGTTTAACTTAGGATTTAAGGTTCATTGACCCTCTAGTAAGAGAGATAACTCTCAGTGAAATAATTGACTATAATTATTAGGGTTAAAGGTGCTTATTATCAGTTCTGCCCCCGGAAGGGTTGCTGAAATTGTGTGCATTTTAATGATACCTAATTGTATTTTTTTGGGAGAATCATTAGTGTTGATGCATTTTTAGAAAACTTGAAACAATAAGTTTAAAAATTCCTATTTGAATTTCAAAATCATTAAAAACAGTATGACTATAAAAATGTTTAAGAATATTATCTGTTGTATAAATTGATGAGAACTTATAATTTGAATATTGACACAAATAAAACTGTACATGCTACAGAATGACCCCTAACGTTTTGTTTTATTTTGCTAGCCTGGGTTATCTATAGGATACCATGCTGATACCACTCTGAACAGCTTCTGTTCCTGGCAGTCTGTTTTAGTGGGAGCCAGTGGTAGACAACATGATCATGCCATACTGTTAACTGGACTGGATCTCTGCTCCTATAAAAACGCCCCCTGTGACACACTAGGTAAAGGGAAATGGGGGGAAATTAACTTTTCAAACTTTTAAAAGTGTTTTTCCTATTATTTCAGGTTTTATATAAAAATTCCTCGAAAAACTATTTTTTTAGGCACTTTTTCTGTCTCTCTTTGAATGACTTTGCTGTTTCTTAGGTAATGTTTGGACTTACAGAGAAAAATATAATCAAAGAAATTTTTTGTTTGTAGGTTTTGCTCCTATAGAGGGTATGTGCAATAGAATTCGAAGCTGTACTATCAATGAGGACACAGGACTTTCAACAGCCTTCACCATTGCTCACGAAATGGGTCATAAGTAAGTAATTCACAAAAACTGCTTATTTAAATTTTTTTTCTTACTGGCGTTGGTTACTGTAAAATCACATATTTTCATGGGGTCAAATTTTCGTGGTTTGAGGAAAATCTCATACCTTGAAAACAACGAAAATTAAACCCCCACGAAAATTTGTGATTTTCACAGTACTTTTTTTTTTCTTTTAATCCCTTAAGAAATATATATTTACCACCCACAGACACAATAAATGGTAGTTTTACATACATATTACTTATTTCATTTTTAAAAGAAACAGCTTATGGAGGCCAAGGCTGCAGAACCCAAGAGTCCTTGTAAAATTGTAATTTTATGCCATGGTTATTGCAACAATTATGATAAAGAGACAAGTAATAAAACTTAGATATGGAACTGACATTTATGAGATGACTTGCCTTATTTTTCTGTAATTTGTTTTCTCTGTTTAATTTTTTTACTTGGTTTACATTTTTAAAATTGTCTGGTTTATATCAGTGAAAAACAAGACACAATATGCTCGCATTAGTATTTGAGATAGTGATATATTTTACATAAGTATGAAAAATGGATTCATATTATGTTTTACTATTTAACCTTGAAAGTGACATCAGGAAGTTTAATATACTTTGTTTACAATACCTGGAAAGTCTTGATAAAAATAACTATTTTGTGAAAATATTATGATGCCTTAGTTTTGAGTGTGTATATTGCAGTAGGCAACAAGGCTGTTTACATATAATTAAAACTAATAATAATGCAAGAATTTGATTTATACTGTATGTGTACAGGCACCTGACATTACTTATTTTTCTTTTAGTAAAAAAAAAAATATATACACATACCTATTTAGGTATGTGTATATTTTTTTATTAAAAGAAAAAAAAATAACTTCAAGTGCCTGTGTGTATGTGTACTTAAAAAAGTGGGCTTTCTATTTTAGCGGCTTTGGTACAAACAATGATGTGCTAATTCATGAATGATTTATGATATTATTTATAAATACAATACATGTACGAGGGCTGTTCGAAAATTATTGAGACAATTACATTTATTCCGTAACGGACGGAGATAATTTTATGATAATTCATCAGCATTTTATAAAGAGCGAATATAACACTTATTCAAAATTTCTAATTCCTATGATAATAAGTAAAGTTTCGGTGAAATGATAAACATACATATGTCTACCGACCCGGAGCAGCATCGCTACGTCATTTAACGTCACGTCAGCCGGAGATGGTTTTGCATGTAAAACGACCGGAAAGCGTTTAATACTTTTCCTTCTTTGTTATTACATATAACATTACAAAAATCAAAATCTCTTTTCTTTAAACTATTCTTTAAAAATGTATGCTGTCGCTACCCCAGTTTGAAATTTTCATTTGTGGGAAAGGATAACTTTTAATCATTCAGTGCCGATTTATGTTAAATAATACCGTAACGATATTAATACCGTACGTAATAACTGATAGTCATCCGGAGCTTTTGATTTTACTCTGGTTGAATTAATTGTAAAAAGAAAATTATACCAATGAAATAACAAACCCTAACACATTAGTTTTTCTCGTTGTTATTGTTTTAGCAGGTCGTTCAGTCTGGAAAGGAGTTCTACATTGCGCTACACAAAATTTTAGGTATGCTGGCTGCTCCGCCCTTGACACCAAAATCCAATTTTCCTGTTCTTAGCAGATTTCTGTACCGCGCTTTATTTTTTTATGATCTCCGTATTCCTGATCAAAATTCAAACAAAGTTGCACAACATGAATTTGAAATAAAGCTGAACAATTATACACATAAACTGAATTATTTTCGCTCTTATTATGGGTCCACGAAGAGTAGGAAGGTTGGTGATGCATATTTTCAATATCTGATTTGTGACTGCTCCGGATACCCTTACTATTGACACATTTATATACCACTGTACAGGAAATATTTAATATTTGTAAAAAATGTTTTGCTTTTATCGATTCTTAGTGTATGTCTAACGTAAATACAAATTTTCAACGAAAGACGTTCATTAGAAAGCAAAATTTAAACAGTGTCTCAATAATTTTCAAACAGCCCTCGTATTTGGCACAGACATGTGATGCGCTAATCCATAATTACGCTAACAACTGCATAACTACTGATTGCGCTGAACTTTGAATGTGCAAATTATGTAAATACAGTAATTGCCGAAAATTATCATTACTGTAGATCACTAAATTTTCGCGACACCTTATTTTCGCGAGATAGCCATTGACTTTTGATTAGCGAGACAAAATTTTCACGAATTGTTTTTATTGCTCTATGTAATCTAAAGGAATACTATTATACGCGAGAATTTAATTTTCGCGAGCACACTGTCTCGCGTAATTACGCGAAAATAAAGTTCTCGCGAATAAAAAGTGTTTTACAGTACTTAAACACCCAATTTTATGTTAACGCCCCCAAAATCTACCTGATTCAAGATCAATAATTTACCGCCTGTCAATTATTAAAAAACAATAGCTTCTGATTTGATTGACAGGCAAGCTGTCTGAACAACCTGATAATCTGAGTTCGCATGTTTTGAAGACGATCGCCTGATCACGCGTCGAACACTTTCATGTACCCGCCTTGTATATACACGCGGGTTAAAAAAAAAACAACCTACTAATATTGGTAATTAATTAATTTTAGGTAAAAAAAAAAACGAGAGCAGATAATTTAATTAAAGATTGACTTCATAAAATATTTGCTTTTAATCTTCACTTGTAAGCAAATGTCGTCCGAGAATCTATTTCAAACTTTACTTGCCGTAATTGGAAGTCCATGTACCGTTAAACATTGTTAAAATTATAATAAAAAAGTGGACATAATATTTAGGATATATTAAATGTTCAGCACTAGCAGCATGGTTTACAAACGATGTTTTATCTCTGTATAAGGGATACAAAGAAATGACGGAATATAATTGCTCGAATTTTGTCAGACATCTGTCTAAATTCGTAATGAAAAGGTGAAGCTAACGAACAGTGATCCAACTTAAAAGGAAATATTTTAAACAATAAAATTTTGTTAGCACACAATCACTGGGAAATAATGAATATCTTGGACAATATTGTGCCAGAAAAAAAATTATTCCGATCGCGGTAAATGTTCACACGACAGATAAGTGGATTTTCTTATTTTAAATATTCACACTTATTAAATCATGTTGATTTCTTTTACTGAAGAGTAAAAGATATAAAGATATGATTGCTTTTTAGATGTTAGTCGAGACCGTTTCTTTATTTTTACAAACAAAATTATAAACGATATATTTCTTTATATTTTTTTTCTTCCAAAGGTAACAGTGAATGCGTTTAGTTTAAATTATAAATAATTTTTTAATATTAAAATAATTAAATTAAATTAAGTTAGTTGTTTCACTCAAAATTAAACACGAAACACGTAATGTTGACCCTGATTACCAAACACAGACTTCCCGTGTACTGCTACGTGTACAGAGATTTTTGACATCTTGGGTATTGGGGGTCTCCAGGTTAATAACAACACTGGTACTTCGACCACTCCCCCTCCTCAGGTAACCGTACGATAAAAAAATTGGGTCTTTAATACTTTTTGCAAGGCCTTTAGACAGGTGCTTGAAGATTACTTTATGATGATGATGATGATGATTTTATGTTACAGTTTTGGAATGTTCCATGATGGGGAGGGTAACCACTGCACTAAGACCACAGGGACCCTGATGTCCCCTACACTGGTCAGTAAAGATGGACAGTTCCACTGGTCACTCTGCAGTAAAACCTACCTGATGAAATTCATGAAGTAAGTCACAATTTTGCTACCCAAATCTTCCCATTTTTAAAAAACTGTTTTGCATAAGGATGCAGATGCGCAAGCTTAGAATGTACATGTAATTAATCGCGCTCATGCTGTGGGATTTTTTTGTAGCACTCCACAAGCAGAGTGTCTGGCAGACAAACCTACAAAAGTCGCTGAGTTACAGTTCCCAGAGAAACTTCCCGGGGAACTGTATGATGCTGACGTTCAGTGTAAATGGCAGTTTGGGAGGAGGGCCCAGCTCTGTACATTAGACTTTGGTAAAGTGAGTCTTTTTTCACAATCACAAATCTACTGGAAACTAAAATTTTTGGTGAAGAAAATTGCATATATTTTCATTTCTGTTTTGGCAATGTTAAAGGTTTTACTCACTATGAATTGGGTTGTATTGTAGGATATCTGTAAATCTCTGTGGTGCTTTAGAGGTAGAAAGAGATGTGAGACAAAGTTCTTACCAGCAGCAGAGGGGACCTCGTGTGGTTATGGAAAGGTACCATAAGCTATTATTATCCATAGAAAACACTTTTCTATTTCTTAAGGGCAGGGGGTGTTAAAGCTTGGAATGTGAATTTATATTTGCCCAGTCCATTGTATTAGAAAGACTAAATTGTTTGTTGTAGTGGTGTAGAAGAGGAGAATGTGTGGAGTTTGGTCAGGACGGACCCTCCCCAATAGATGGTAGCTGGTCCCAGTGGACCCACTGGACAGACTGTAGCCGGACCTGTGGGGGAGGGGTTACCATGAGGGAGAGGCAATGTAATAAACCACTGTAAGTATCAGAAAAATATAGATCGTAACTGGAACAAAAGGAGAATCAAGAACATAGGGAAAAAATGCAGTAATTTATAAAATGTGGTCATGATGCAACTAGCTTGTTTATCATTTGAATTTTAAAAAAAAATTCAATACATTATTCCTTTCAGACCACAATATGGAGGGAAAAACTGTGATGGAGAAGCAAAGGTTCATAAATTGTGCAACTCTAAGGTATTGTAAACTATTTATTAAATGCTCAGTTAAGAATCTTGTAACTGCTAACCAATGAATATTCAGTTAACTGCTAACCAATGAATATTCAGTTAGAGTAGACCAAAATAAATGGAAATTTTTATTTGTAGCCTTGTCCAGAGGGTGATGCTGATTTTCACAACAAACAATGTCAGCTGTACAACGAGAAGCCATTCAGAGGCTGGCTGTTAGACTGGAGGCCGCATCCTAAGATGTATAATGGTAAGACAGAGATTGTTATTACTAGCTTCACTTCAAATTATTTCTCAATATAGATGATTGAAAAAAAAATTGGAGAAAACTAGTACACCTAGACATTATACGATGACATATTGCACTAAAATGCCCAACATTTGATCCAGGCACATAATTGGAGGAAGAAATTATAGCATACTGAAATCATCTGTTGTAATATTCACACTCATAGAAATTTTCATTAGGCCTATTTCTGTTTTGTTGCAGCACAGGAGCCTTGTGTCCTATATTGTTTAGCAGAGACCAGTAGTTATGTGTTCACAATAAAACACACAGCCACAGACGGAATGAAGTGTGCTGGAGACAAAGAAATCTGTGTGGAAGGGACTTGTCAGGTAAGTCATTAAAACACCCTGTATTGTTTTATACTGGCAGAATAATTTGCCATTTTGTTGAAAATTTGATTTTTTTTTCACCTACTGTAGATCACTATATTTTCGCGACACCTTATTTTCGCAACAAAGCTATTCGGTATTTATTAACGGAACAAAATTTTCGCGAGCTGTGGTTTCTGTTGTGTATAAACATTAATAATACAATTATATGCGAGAACAAAATTTTCGCGAGCAGACAGACACGCGTAATTACGTGAAAATAAAGTTCTCGCGAATAATAAGTGATTTACAGTATTAAAGGTTTAAATTTCAAATTAAACTGTGAACTTTCTGTTGTAGCCAGTAGGATGTGATATGCTTGTTGGCTCAACTGCAGAAAACGATATCTGTGGAGTGTGTAAGGGGGATAACTCTTCCTGTCGAATTATTCAGGGAGAATATTTGGAGCAGCCCAAACTTAACAGTAAGGAAAATACAATTACTCAACAAAAATAATTTTAATCAAAATTAATTCTAATGCAAGAATTCCATAGTAATTCTCTGAATTAATTTGCCTTCTTTCAAATAAATTATACTGCCAGAGCTAACGTTTTGGAAATGGTTAATAATAAGAATAACCACATGCCAAGAGAGATAATACATGTATTTAAAAAGGAAATTTTTTTTGCAATTTTGCAGCTTACTTCCCAGTGGCTATAATACCCAAGAGCCAGATCAATCAAAATCTCAGAGAAGAACCTGTCCTCTAACTACCTGGCGGTCAGGGACATTTTTGGTCAGTACTACCTGAACGGTCACCAGCGCGTGGCCTGGCCGGGGGAGTATGTACTGGGGGGAGCTAAGTTCATCTATAAAAGACCCTACAACGAGCCAGAGACCCTGGAGAGTATTGGGCCATTGAGAGAAGACCTGGTTCTGGAGGTAGGAGTTAATAATTTTAAATTGATTTGAATTTTTATGCCCCTGCTCTGAAGGAGAGGGGATATACTGTTTTTGAAGCTGCTATATATGCATTTTTGATATATAAAAAAAAGATCAGTTTTTAATAATTATTATTAAAAGAAGAAAAATGAACTTATTTCAGATACTTGTCCAGGATGAGAACCCCGGGGTCCAGTATAAGTATGCCATTCCTCGTCAGATCTCCCACCTGATCAGCCATGCCCCGGTAGATAACTACACCTGGAGTGTTTCAGCCTCGGCCTGCTCTGAACCCTGTGCTGGAGGTACTATTTTGTTATTTTTGAAAATCATACCAGAAAAGGGATTTTTTTTTTCAATTGGTCATCAAGTCATGACTATATATGTACTGACGAATTGAATTGCCCACATCAATTTTCAGTGGCAAAGTTACAATAATTTCCAATTTTCAAATTAACTCATTTGAAAGGCATTGAACATTTAATGGCTCTTTTTAGGTCACCTGAGTAAACTCAGGTGGCCTATTGCTATCCGTTTTCGTCCATCGTCGTCCGTCGTGTGTTAACATTTGAACATTTTCAGCTTGTTCTCTGCAACCACTCAACCAATTTCAACCAAATTTGGCACAAAGCATCTATGAGTGAAGGGGAACGAAAATTATGAATTTCATGGTCCCTGCCCCCCCCTGGGGCTTGAGGAGTGGTGCAAAAAACACTAAAACTAATGAAATCTTTAAAAATCTTTTTCTTTACTCCTGGGCATCAAGCAGTCAAATTGTTTGCATGATTGTAATCAGCATTGAGTCCTCTACCAAAATTGTGAAATTAATGGCCCCATGGTCAGGGGTTCTAGTGCTAGGGTAGGGCTTAAAAGAGTATATAGCGAAAATGCATTATTTCTTTGAAAATCTTCTTCTTGCTCCTGGGTCTTAAATAAACTAACTAAGTACATAGTTATGATGAGCAAGAGTGCCTCTACTGAAATTGTGAATTTTATGGCCCCAGGGTCAGGGGTTCTAATGTTAGGGCAGAGCTCTATTGATTATATAGTGAAAATACATGAATTCTTTGAAAATTTTCTTCTCTGCTCCCAGGTATTAAATAAATTAACTAAGTACATACTTCTGATGAGCAAGAGTGCCTCTATCAAAATTGTGAATTTCATGGCCCCAGGGTCAGGGGTTCTGGTGTTAGGGCCGGGCTCTATTGATTATATAGTGAAATAGTTTAATTCTTTAAAAATCTTCTTCTCTGCTCCTTGGTATGAAATAACCTAACTAAGTGCATAGATATGATGAGCAAGAGTGCCTCTACTGAAATTGTGAATTTCATAGCCCCAGGATCAGGGGTTCTGGTGTTAGGGCGGGGCCCTATTGATTATATAGTGAAAATACATTAAATCTTCGTTTTCTTATCTGCTCCTGGGTATTAAGCAGATAAACTACCTATATAGTTATGATGATCAAGGGCCCTAATATTCCAGAATTGTGAATTTCAAGGCCCCAGGGTCAGGGGTACCATAGACCGGGGGGGGGGGGGGGGGGGGGGGGGGGGGGTGGAGCTGTACTTATATATCAGAAATGAATAAATTTTTTGAAATCTTGGTATCCTTGGTATCAGTCAAATATTTTTGAAAAGCAATGGTGCCTTTTTAAAAATTGTGCAATGTGTGGACCTAGGCCTAAGGGTCAGGGGTTCATGTGTGGTAGGGACACTACTGATTATTGGTGAATATTACTGATTAGTTGAAATGCATTTTTGTTCCCCTACCCTGCCTATGGGTATTAAGTAACCAAACTGAGCAACTGCTAAGTGTATAAGTTGTGATGATCAATGGTGCCTCTTTCAAAATTGTGAATGCCATAGCATCTGGCTTAAAACATGAATCAAATTCAATTTCTGGAAAGTTGTTGCATGATGCTCAGGTGCCCTATAAGGCCCATGGGCCTTTTGTACTGCCTTAGAGATATATGGACATAAAATGCATGAATTTGGAGATAATTTATAAATTCAAATCCAGAGCTAATATATTGTTATTAATGTTCATAATGTGCACTATTTTAGAAATTATATATTTATTACAGGTAAAAAGAATGTCAGTGCCAAGTGTCTGAAAAATCATTTCAAAGAAGTGAATGAATCTCTGTGTGACCAAAGCAAAAAAACAGAAACTGGACTAGTGCCATGTAATGAGCAACCATGCCCTCCAAGGTAATACATGTAATTAAATTGTTATCAAATAGATTATTAATTTTTTTTTCAGTCCTTGTAATTTTATTATAAAGCAAATTTAATACATAAATAATTGTCATTTATCAAAACCTAAAACAAAATATTTGTAAGATTATGAAATTGTTAAAAAAAAAAAAAAAGAGTTATGTATGATTTCTTTTTTTTTTTTTTTTTTGTTATTCTTCATATCTGCTATACAATTTATTTTAAAATAAAATTTTAAAACAAAATTTTGGCTTTAAAAGCATGTGATTTTGTAAGCATGCATTTGTAATGAATGTGTTTAATAATGTTTGAAGTGATGGGAAAACAAATCATTTAACCTATAACATAATAATCACTGTATGTCTTAATTCATCAGATGGGTCCCAGAGGAATGGAATTCTTGCTCCAAATCTTGTGGGAAGGGAAAGCAGAGGAGGAAAATCTTTTGTCGGAAAAGAGTTTCAAAAAAGCGTGATAAAAGAGTCAAGAAATCCAACTGTAAAAGTTTGCCAAAACCTGTGAGGACTCGACGATGTAACTTACAGGAATGCCCACCAGTATGGAGAGTGGGCAAGTGGCACAAGGTGTGGGCAAAATTCTAATGTTCAAATCTTTTCTGATACATATTAATCTGATCTAAATTTTTCGGTATTTATATTTCTTCTCCATTGTGATTTGATGAAAAACTATTAAATATGTACAGTCTATATAAGAGGAATCCTATTTTTCTGTCTTGGTAAGCTACATGTATTATGTGCTATTGATTTATTTTTAACATTTTCTCTGTCTACTAGAAGAGATATTTTGTGTATACTAATATTTAATCCAGTTCTGTTTCACTGCAGTGTTCAGTCAGCTGTGGTACTGGTACACAGGCCAGGAAAGTGTTCTGTAAAAGTAAAGGCAAGAAGGCCAAGAGACAGCCCGACCACATGTGTAGTGGACACAAGCCTCCCAGCATCCGACCCTGTAAACGGTCACTCTGTCCGCAGGACACCATATTTGAATGGCACTTATCTCCATGGGGACCAGTAAGCATTCTTCTTTGATACATGGATAATTTTTTTTAGACATTTTGAGAATTATAAGATTAATATTAATTTTCTTTTTTTTAAGTGTTCCCAGACTTGTGGGCCAGGAGTCAGACAGAGGTACCTCGTGTGTAAGAGAGTGGATTACCGCGGAAACACCATTGCTACTAGAGATAAATACTGTAAGAAGTCCAGTCGTCCGAGAGTACCCACAGAGGATTCCTGTAAACTGATGGTCTGTCCTCACAAAGTCATCAATAGGCCCAAATGGAAGGTGTCCCCATGGTCACAGGTTTGTATGGAGTTGTTGCAAACGCAGAGATAAAATTATTGCTCTACACATAAATTTCTTTTGATTTAACAGGAACTTAAAAAGTCTGTTTTTGGCATTTATTCATAAATATAAAGAAATTGTACTTTAATACTACATGTATTTTATAAAAGGTTAGCTAGGTTCTATACTTCTGGAGCAGAGCAGCATGTGCTCCAGAAAGAATTGGAAGCTTCTAAATTATAATGTTTTATTAGATAAAGTAGAATTTTTAGCTCACCTGAGCCGAAGGCTCAAGTGAGCTTTTCTGATCAAAATTTGTCCGTTGTCTGTCGCTGTCGTCGTCGTTGTCGTAAACTTTTCACATTTTCATCTTCTTCTCAAGAACCACTGGGCCAATTTCAACCAAACTTGCTACAAAGTATCCTTGGGTAAAGGGGATTTAAGTTTGTTCAAATGAAGGGCCACGTCCTTTTCCAAGGGGAGATAATTATGAATTAGAGAAAAATTAATGGCATTTTAAAAAAATCTTCTTCTCAAGAACCACTGGGCCAGGAAAGATGAAACTCAGGTGGAACCATCTTCAGGTAGTGTAGATTCAAGTTTATTCAAATCATGACCCCCAGGGCTAGGGTGGGGCCAAAATGGCCGACCCAAGTTTTACATAGGGATACCTTTTAAAATCTTCTTTTTAAGTACTTCAAAGCCATGATAAGTAATATTTATATGGAATCATCCTCAGGTAGTGTAGATTCTAGTTTGTTCAAATCATGAACCCCTGGATTGGGTGGGGGTGGATGGGTGGGGGAGGGGGGTTAAAATTCAAGCCCCCCCCCCCCCCCACCTCAGTAAACTTTCAGTTCTGATCTGATATGTGCTTTTTCCTAGCCGACGTGCTCAGGTGAGCGCTGTGGCCCCTGGGCCTCTTGTTTGTTTAATCTATTGAATATAAAGTATGTTGACAATTTTACAACATGTTTTCTAGTGTTCGGCATCCTGTGGGGAGGGTCAGAAGAGTCGTGATATTAAGTGTGTGGATGACTCGGGACAACAGACGCTGGGGTGTGACCTTGACAACCGTCCAGCTACCTCACAACTCTGTAAAAATGGAGCCTGTCCAACCAATAGCACTGGTACAGTATTAATTATCTCACTTGTCATTTAAATGTCAGTTTTGTTTTTTGGAAGACTCAAGTGTAATACCAGCAATGAAAGAATATGTTGATAATCTTATTTTTTGTCTTAGTGAGAACTGTTGAAATGTTACTGTAAAATGACATATTCTTGAAGTCAAATTTTCATGGTTTGAGGTATATGTTTCTGTTAAATTAGACTGAAACATTTCATTGGGAACAGTAACAAATGGATTTCCCTATACCATGAAAACAACAAATATTAACCTCCCTTGAAAATTATTTAATTTGCAGTATTTAACGAGTCAAATTTTGTCTTGTAGACTATGCAGACTGCCTTGACAGATACACATGGTGTCACTTGGTGCCTGAACATAAAGTCTGTGATCATGAATTCTACGGCACACATTGCTGTCTATCATGTAAAACCCATCGGTGACACCTACTGCTGCAGTAAGCTGCATCCATTATCTCGCTGTGATAAACCCCTGCACATGCTATCCCTGTGGTAACTCAGAACCCAGTGTTTTCCAGTCAAAGCCAAAGTTCTTCCACACCCTACAATGTTAATTCCTATGCTTTTATTTGAACAAATTGCAGGGAAACTGTGAAACATGCAGAAATTTCAATCTATGGAACACTTGAGGAAAATGAAAGCTGATTTCTTTTCTGGAGACTCTTTTGTGCAGTTGTAATGTATTCGTTGACAAGAAAGACAACTCAGTCTAGGAGTGAAGAGTGTATAGGTGTAATATTCCTAGTGGCTAAAGACACTTTTGTGCTCTAGCAATTTTAGTACAGGACAGTTGAATGCATTTCAGAGACACATAAACATTCCACAATATCATCTAAATTTATCAGAGTTGTACACCTGTTATTGTGTTAACCATTCCTCTTTGTTTGCAATAAGTCCTCAGTAAGATATTGTAAAAGTCTATGTTTAATTTAATCAGTCACCTTTTTCAAAAGTATTAATCATTCCCCCTTTCATTCCAGTTTAGTACTTAATATACTTATTGTCATTCATCAATGATCATTCCATATTTTTGTTATTTATTAAATATAAAGGTTGGATTATTTGTTCACAAACAGAATTTTCATATACATATCAAAAATGTTTTTGTGAAGATCATTCACATGAAATTTATTCCATATTTTCAACCCTTGACGTTTGAATTTTTGATGTAAAAGAGATGCAATGTAGTCAGCATGTTATACATGTATACATTTTGGTATATATTTTTAATTTTGTAAGGTTTTGAAGCTGCTAAGATATTGATTAGTTATAATCACTCAGCATTATAAATGGCCATGTTTTTTAAGTTGTTATACATATACACAGATAATTTTTATTTACACGTTTTACAATACACAAATTGATCTACAGTATACGTACAACCTACACATGTACAATATTTTAAATTTTCATATCAAATACAAATGTACTTGCATTTTGAATTTAATTGTCTGTTTCATTCAAAAGTATTTTTTCCTCAAACTATTTTGGATTGATATGCATTTAATACAACCTATATCATTTAAAACTTAACATATCAAGAAAAAAAAACAAAGTCTTTAATATTTAACTCTGTAATCAGGAATTTTAAATTTAAATTTTCTTACCTGCAAACTTTTACAGTTGTCAGACAATATTGAAAATTAATTTGAAGGAAAAATTTATCTCTGTTCTAAAATAGTATGAATTGTATATATGTATTTACTTCTTATATAAATGACAATAATAATGAAAATGGTATGATTTCTGTTTTAAATTACAACAGTATTCTTCTTGCAGTTGCAATTATTGTCAAGATTACATCGTATTCCATCTTGACAATGAAGTTATCAATTTTGTATGAAAGCAGTTCTTGCATCAGAGATGCTTTTTTCCCGTTATTATGATTTATGAATGTATTATGATCTCACTTCGTATGTGTTTTTAAGATTTTAAAAACTTTAATAAACCAGCTTTATTGCTTTATTAAAAATTAACTGTGTTTTTATTTAATATTTAACATTAAGCACCAAGGGGTGGAGAAAATTGTGTCCAAACACCCTCTCCAAAACTGGATTTAAAGCCCCCATTTTAGCTGAATTTTTGCCCCCTCCCCCATTTCGAAAAAAATCATTAATAGACCATTGAAAAGTGCATTAAAATATTTGAGTACAACGTCAAAACATAGCGTCAAGAATTTCTTTTTAAAAAAAAAAAGCTATCCCTATGTCACACATCATAATCCAATTCCCACTCATAATAAATCTTTTATTCTAATACTTAACATTTATTTTTTTTTAAGAATTGCTCTTGTATAATTTCCTCTGTATTAAAGGTTTTAATTTCTTTTATTACTAAACTCTCTTTCAAAGGATAAGAAACTCTGAAGCGCCTATGTCTTTCCTTTATGTTCAAACTTTTAAAGTTTTGGTTCAGAATTTTGAAGTTAAACCATTTCTTCACAGATTGTCCTCAACCGATACAGAGTCTCTATCACTCAAATACTGCCTGTACTATTTGTACACACATGCACAACTTGCTTGTAACATTTTTTTTTTGCTTCCTCCAACATTTTAGAGTTTATTAAGAATTTTTTTCTGCGTAAAACAGAAATTTGAATCTGATGCTCCAAGACGTTCTAAAACGTCAGCGTATTTGTCGTTTTCACTGAGGACTACCTATCTTCTCAGGGTTGATGCCTTTTCAACAAAGCAAAATATTATGCCATAATTTGGAATATGAATCGATGTAACAATTCCTAATATGAATTTCTAGGTTGTTTTTCGTTTTTGCTTCATTTTACAGAGAATATGACTACAGACATCATTTAGTGTTTTGTTTGCTAACTTACTGAAATTTTGACCTGCTCCGCGATCCGATTTTTGCATTTTCAAAAATCTGTATAAGTTTTAAATAAATTGTAATATTTTTAGAAAAAATAATACAAATCATTTGGATTTATTGTTAAAATATTTCTACCAAATTTGGATAACATAATTATGACGTCAAATAAAAGTCCACGAACTTTTCGACGTAAGACTGGTCCAGAGCTCCCCAACCCCTCCCCATTTCGCCGAATCCGCTACTGTGTACATACAATTTGCCCCCTGTAAAATTTTCATAACATGTTTATGTCTCAGGTGTGTAGGACTATAAATCTAGACTTATATGTAAACCTTTTACATTGTAACCTAACTCTGTCGAGCGGATAATGTAAATATTGTTCACTGAAGGAGAAAAAAGGAATAGATACGTATAAAGATAAAAAAAAAAAAAGAAGATGTGATTGTAAGAAAATTCGACTTGGATTTCATTTAATTTTCAGCACTTATTATCATTGGGTATACTGGTAGCTTCCTTGTAAGTTGTGCTTTCTAGGAATATTCATTCAACCTTAAACAAAATACCCCTTCAACACCTAATACGATCCAAAGCCAGAATGTTGGTAAAAACGTCTGTGCAGTGTGTATAGTAAAAGTTAAAGCACGGAATCCTATAAGGTGAGTAAAGGTTACTTTTACTTTCTCAAATGATGGTAAATGTGAAAATTATCATCAAAACGTTTCTTGTTATGAAAATATGCATGTATTCAACAACAACAATAACATGGAAAAAACGAATCTTAATCAAGCTCAAAAGTTCATTGAAAAAATACAGATAGGGATCAAACTAGACCTCTTAAAACATCGACAAGGTTGGATCAGGTGCCACGGGGGAGGAAGAATCCCCTGTTGACCGGTCACACCCGCCATGTGCTCCTTGTCATGAAGGGAAAAACGGGGGGAAATTTGTAGAAAACAAAAATAAGTGCTTAAATAATGTCCGAACAATTAGTATATGAAAAATTTCAATCGGCATTCTACTGAATGATAAATTGTATTAAAATGACTAGGTCATACTCCTTTTTTATAAAACAACGTCGTGTGTTAACAAAAAAAATAAAGCAGAGAACATAATGTAAGAATTATTTATTTTTTGCGAACGAGTCTGTTTAGATTTACGTAGTTGGATAGAATAAATCCAAATTTTGTGTTTTGACATGCCCCCTTTTCAAATAAAGGCTACCTCCAATTTTCTTGTTTTTCATATATAGCTTGTAAATTTCTTTGTTTATTGAAGAGTTTTTATAGTATAAAAACACGAAAAAAATTGTTCAAAATACTAATTTTTTAAGCATAAAACCGTATATTTGCAAATAAAATTTTTTATATTACGTAAATTATATGAAAAATTTCTATCCTTGATGACCTGGCTGTTTATATTTCGTTTCATCAACTTGTTTTTCAATACTAACTAAACAGTGATTCCTTAAATATTATGTAAACTGAGGCTGGTCCATAGAGATAAAACTTTTCACAACCAATGAAATCATGTTGAATAGTTTCTACTTCTTTTTTACTAGAAGTTCAAATGTCTGAATTCTTAATGTTAATTTTCTTGAAAATAAGAGTTAAAGGGATATGGAAACAGCTTCAGCTAATAAATTTAGCTTATTTTTTTCATTTTTTTTTATGTTTACAGAATTTCTAAAGATAAAAAATTTTGACTTCCGTTGTCGAGATATAACTAGGCAGATTTTGAACTCTAAACCTTTGTTTTGTAAACAAGGCCCGTGCCGTGTTTTTGTTTACATAGGTTAAATATCTTTTAAAATAAATGTTCGTTTAAAGCATATTTTTTTTTTTCAATGAAGAAGTAAATTCTAAATACAATTAGACAGTTTCTAATGATTTGCTGAATCTCATTTTGTTATAAATACGATATTTTCTACATGTAAACAAAACAAGGCACTGTAGCCTTAATTTACATTATGAAGGATTTGAAGATCTATATATCCATTGTAAATAAACAAATGATCTTCAATTTTTTTGCTGATCGTTTGAATTGCCCTAATTAAAAATTATAAACATTGAAACTGGTTTTAAAAAATCAGTTGAAACTTTGTCCATGTGCCTTAACCAGGTAGAATCCAGTGTTAAATTCAAAATTGCATAATCATTGAATTGTTGAGTCCTTTGATGTTTTGAAATAGACTTTAAAAACATCTGTTACACAGATATCATTGATTCCATATGAAGATAATTTAAAGATACATTATAAAGTCTTTAAATATGTTTTCTTTAGTTTAAAATTAAGGTCCATACTTTTTTTTCTCTCACAGAAAAAAACAACAACAATCAATTGACATATTCTTGAAAATTCAGAAACACCACTCTTTTTTTTCTTTGTCGAAAAGGTTGAAGGAGACGGTTGGGTGTGACCGCACCTCTTGGTAAAAAAAAAAAATCATTATTTTTTTCTGTTGAAACTAACAATCTACATTTTGTATTTTTAAAAAGGCATTAAATATAATATTGAGTTGTCCTCGACCTGGTCACAGGAATCTGATGTAAGAGTTATACAACCATTTAAGGGCAATCACCCCCAGTTAATTTGTTCAGACTTGTGAATTCACCTGATGGTTTCGATACCCCAGCCCAAAGCAGGTCATTTAAATTTTACATTTTAGGTTATTGATCCCCCCGACGAATTCATTTTACAACTTTGAAGATAGGATGTATCCCATCTGATTTGGAGGTGGATTACGCTTTTTCACCGAAATATGAAACTAGAGGTAATATTGCTTTCTTTTATTTGATTATAAGATTGAAAAGTTCGGCTTGTTTTAAAAGTTATAATTTGTGTTTTCATGATTTTATAATGAATTAAGAATTATTTTTCTTGTTTGGTTTACGGTAAATTTTGATACATGACTTGTGCAACAGTAATCTGGTCTTGAAACCATAGCCGTCTTATCCATTTCATTTGTTTAATTGACAGAAAATTTATTTCCCTTTAAAGAAATGGGAGTAAAAAGTTTTACCCTCTTTATTCACCTGGCAAAAAAGTCCGCATATCCCAAGTGTTAGGGATGCAATTCTGCTTCGGTGCGGGTACAGTGTATTCAGTATTCTGATTTTTATACCCCCCCCCACTTGAAAAGTGGGAGGGTATACTGTAATGGGTATGTCTGTCTGTCTGTACGTCCGTCTGTCTGTTACGCTTTGGGGCACCCATCTCTTATCCGCAACTCTTATATATACCACTTAGTGAAATTTAATGAAACTTTCACAGAATCTTTATTACATATTGCCATTGTGCACCTCCTATTTTACTTTTTGATCTGACATATATTTTAAAGAATATGTAATCAAAATCCCATAATTCATGAGCTATTGAAACTCATATGACGATACCCCCCTAAATGGAAAACGAAAACTGTCATTATCTTCAATGTCTCACTAGCGCGTCTGTCACAGCTTTGATTCTCCTTTGCAAGATTTTTGTTTTTTCAGAATTCAGGGCATGGGTAATCACACTAAAAAATTATTCAAACGACGCGCGCATGCGCCAGTGAGTGGAACACAAAAGTAAGTTGACCGGCTCAAAAAAACAAACAAACAAACAAATTGCCAGGGCTACTGTTTTCTTTCAGTTTTCGGGTTAATGTAATGATTATGATAGTCTACTGTATTAAAAGAGGTTTATGTTGTTGTAAGGTGGCGATTAAACAGGTGGCAGGACAAATAACCCGATCGTAAAGAGACTGTTTTGCGTTAACTTAAACGTCATCGTCACCCCGTTGTTGTCTTTTTCCCTACTTAGGCAATTCGAAAACAGATCCCACTGAACTTCGGTAAACTGTACCAAGAATGCAAGAAATTCATATCATTTGTAAATACTGAAAAACAATGTGTATACCTCTGATGCATCAAATAATACAACAAGATTTGTTGACAAACTCATCGTCATCAATTTGCACGTGTTTTGGGCTTTTTGGCTTATTCCCTACGTGACGTCATACACTTTACGTTTGAGTAGTTCTGAACACTGGTTTTGGTGCATACTAACTTACATTCTCATCTGACCAATTTTCGAAATTTTCGATCACAGATCCAAAAAATATCGAATATTAAGCTACCCTGCGTTTCTTTTTCATTTCAGTATATATAGCAAAACATAGCATTATGGAAGGCGGGGGTTTCATATAGTGAGCTCATTGCTCACAGTACCTCTAGTTTTTTCGGGGGGGGGGGGGGTCACCCACCATAGTCTGAAAATAACCCAACCCTTCAAAATGTTTTCACCTCTTTCAAACGTGAAAAGTATTTGGGGATCCCTATTCTCTACTGAGAAGTCGGTGGCTCGTTTTTAATAGTGCTCCCTCAAGGGGGAGTAGTACTGTACTTCTCAATAGAGAATAGGGATTTCTTTTCCATTCCAATTTGGATCTTTTATACATGTACATGTATGTGGAACATACAATAATATAAAGGAGGAAAAATTCACTGAACACACCTTCTTTGTTGCATCTGAGGAGCCTACGTGCAAGGTGATCACATCGATCAAAGATTACACGCGAACACTCCCGGGGTGGTTTGTCGTTTGCCGTATTTAAACAGTTTGAACGTTTTGACTTTAGTTGTTATGCACTGATGATTTGTTTCCGGTTTGATTATTGGATTAAAAAAAACTTATGAAACGCGGTAACATGCGCTAAGACATGTGGAATCGGGATTAAAAAGGCTTTTAAATAATGGGATCTCGTAACAGAACTCATGAATACTACACTTGGGTGAGTGTTACCATTTTAACGTTACAAAAAATAGAGCTGTGTTGATGAAAAAGGTACACTAGCCAGCCGCAAACATGAGAGTTACAGAGCGCCAATCGATTAGTGCATTGCATCATAAGATGACCTTTGATCAGGAAAATGATGTATACATTGTAAGTAGTGTGTTTTATTCACATGGATAAGATTGAGGAATCAAAGGAATCACGTTCCCCTTTTCATGCGTTTCAATCTGTCAATGTGAGAAGGTGACCTGTCAAAAATATTCATATTTCAAGGTTATCAGTAGTGTTGGTTAATTATAATTGGTGTAACAATTTAACAATAATAATTGAGCATGTTGATTCGCTTCATTGTCTGTGATGTACATAATAAAATTATATTTAGATAATGGACTTTGTCCAAAGTGTAAAAAGGAATGTAATATGCAACTTCCTCTACATCAGGATGTTACAGTAATAACAGTTTACGTCATGATGAATCAGGATCACTCCACCAACTATCTCTCTTTCTTTTTTGTATACCCTTTAATAAATTAATTATAACATCTCAGGCAGGTCTTTGTGTTTGTGGGGGTGGGGGAGACCACCCGCCCCTTTTTTTAATTTTGCCAATGTACACAAATACCAAAGACAAAACATGTAATATACTGTTGGACCTTGGTCCTCAATATCATGATTACCCTTTATAATATTTTTGCTGTTGAATAAATTTTTGTTAAGATGCATGTGCTTTCCAGCCTGAACTTGCATAAAACATCATTCATGATCAGAATCTTGATTTGATATTTTCTTTTTCAGTCCGAAAGAAAATTTTCGGTGTAAGACAATTGTTCTTATTTGAACACTTGCAACTGATTAAATATGTTGTGAAAGTGGTGTACCACTCTCTGCATGGTTTGACAAATTTATTTGACAGCTAATTTTACAGGTTCCATAATATATATTTATTCTGACAGAAGTTTGAAATGTTTTGCTTTTATAACTAACCATCTGAAAATGCATATGGATAGTGCAGTCAATGCAGTTCATGATTTACCAGCTGTGTTTGATTTGTGTTTTTTAAATATTTCATAGAGGGTAATGTTGATCAATTTACTGTGTAAATCTGATATTATAATAGTCATCTGTTTGTTTATATACTATAATATTTTGATTATAGTTTAAATTTTTGCAAAAGAAACTAGTTTTCCTTTGAAAACTCATTCATAAATATTTCTTCTTTTCCAGACAAGTGTACCCCAGACAGAAGAATCGGAACCAGAATCAAGGATGTTCAAGTGTAAAAACATAGACATCATTGTGTATATAACAGTCATCATTTTTGGCATTGGATCATGGGTAGACATCAATGGATTATGGGTAGAACTTCCAGCAATGATTACAGAGGGTCTCCCTGAAGGGTGGAACCTGCCTTCTTATTTATCAGTCATAATCCAAATCGCCAACATAGGACCACTCATAGTTACTCTAGTTCATGTATGTGCCCCTGGAAAACTTAACAACATAGGTGTGGTTTATGTCATATTAGGAATAGGAAGTTTAGCTTGCCTGTTTTTGGCTTTTTACTGGAAAACCACAGCTTTTGTCGCTGGAGAAGAGAGAAGCATAGTGCTGCTCGTGTTACAGTTCTTCCTAGCTTTAGTGGACTGTACCACATCAGTTGTGTTTCTTCCCTTTATGGTGAAGTTTAAGTCGGAGTATTTGACGGCTTATTTTATCGGAGAGGGAATGAGTGGGATGGTGCCCAGTCTGGTAGCCTTGGGTCAAGGCAGCGGGTCAGTGTCCTGTGTGAATGTGTCCTCAACCAACGCCACCACCAACATAACAACGTACAGCGTATATCCGAAATCCAACCCTCCGAATTTCCCTGTGCGGGATTTTTTCTTGTTTCTATTTGCTATGGTGTTTTCCAGTGGCATAGCATTTACATTCCTGAACTATGTTCCGTATTATAAAAAAGAGTATGCTTCAGAGGATGAGGTATCAGAATCGTCAGATGATAGTAAATTTCAAAGCAGCTACGAACTAAGTAATGGTGAAACCAACGGAAGGTCAACTTTCTCAGACCCTGCAACAATTGGATCATCCACATCCAAACTTGTAAAGCAAGGGACTCATACCCAAAGTGTCGACAAATCAGGGATATTGAATGATGACGTTAAAATAACCAAAGTAGTTCAGCCTATATCCAAGTCCCTGTATATATACTTCATGATTCTGACAGCTTTTTTGAATTCCCTTACAAACAGTGTCTTTCCATCCATACAAACATTTTCATGCATGCCATATGGAATATCAGCATACCACCTAACAGCAGCACTGTACAATATTTCTAACCCCGTAGCTTGCTTTATTGCCATGTTCTATTCAGCGTCTTCCTCCACTGTTATTAGTTTCCTCTCCTTCCTGGGGTCTGTGGTGGCAGCCATTATTCTATATACTGCAGCAGCTAGTCCCACCCCATTTCTTGTTGGAACTCAGACTGGAGAAGCCCTCATTGTAAGTCACCAATTATAAAATCCAAATTATTAAAATTAAATTTTCACTTCATATTTGTTTGCATGTCTTTATTAGATTTAAATTATGTGTCTGGAATGCTTAGAAAATGCACTGTATATCATAATATATTGGGCTATTGTAAATTGGCCCAGTCACAGTTCTCATGTAAGAAATTATATGTTCTTTGAATTTGACCCATTTAAATTCATGCACCTACTTGTAAGTAGGACAAAAGAGGCAAAACTAAATGGTGCTAATGTTTCTAAGAATAAATGATACAATATATTAGACACAACACATTGGATTTAAATTAACATTAATCTATTTCAGGTCACAATATGGGTTGTTGGAGGACTACTTTTAACATATTCCAAAGTTGCCATAGCTACTGTGTTTAGGTCACAGGGTCAAAGGGCACTGATGTGGATTGGTGTGATGCAACAAGTGGGGTCATTTTTTGGGGCAGTGCTATTTTACCTTATCATAAACGTGTGGTCAATGTTCAAGAGTGCACCTTACTGTCCAAGTTGATTACAAACATAAATTTAGCCATAAAATTTAAAAACACTGCCTTTCAGAAGAGATGTTTATTCATATTTTTGTAAATGTTCTGTCAAATATTTACTGAATTACTGAATGGGCCAATTTTTAAAAACACTGCCTTTCAGAAGAGATATTAATCCATATTTTTGTAAATTTCCTGTCAAATATTTACTGAATTACTGAATGGGCCAATTTTTAAAAACACTGCCTTTCAGAAGAGATATTAATCCATATTTTTGTAAATTTTCTGCCCAATATTTACTGAGAGAATCCAGTGTTTTCTATGCTTCTATCTTAGGTTTTTACAAGTTTTTGGTTTTCATAATCTTTTAAATGTTAAGAAATTAAAATATCACTTTTGACTCCAAGGATTCTATCAATGTTGTCATGCCCTTTTTGTGGCTGTCTGAATTTAGAAAAGTTACTCCTGATGTTAATCAATTTACATTTGCAATTTACTTCCAGATTATGTTATGAATATTTTGTGAATGTAGCGAATTTGATGAGTGATGTGAACTGACAACTTGATTTTAGAGCAGTTAAGTAACAGCTTGCTTTTTTGTGCTGTAAAATGTTTGCTTATAATGTGATGTTATTATTTTGACTTAGATCTGAAAAAGTTATTTACAATGTATATACATATATTGCTTGATAAGTATTGTTTACACATGTATCATGTTTATTCTTTATACATGTATATTTTATTAATTATTTTTGTATGCCTGTTGTGTGAGTGGTTACAGATGTATGACGTAGAAGTGCTGTTTGTTTGTTTGTTTTTGTTTGAGTTCATGTTTATTCTTTATACATGTATATTTTATTAATTATTTTTGTATGCCTGTTGTGTGAGTGGTTACAGATGTATGACGTAGAAGTGCTGTTTGTTTGTTTGTTTTTGTTTTGAGTTTTTTTTTTAATCTTGCATTTTGTTTGTACCTTTGCCAACAATAAGAATTACTAGTAATTTGATATCAAAATCGTCCCTACTCGATAATTTTTTTCAGCACTTTGAAATTTTAATACTTTTTCTTTAGTTTCCATAGAAATTGTTTCATTTTAAAGCTAATTAAAAGGTATTTAAGTTTTTTGGGATGCTATTTTGATTGAAATATTTTTAGCAATACACCTGTATAGCTATCCAGTGTCTAATAAAAACATCAATTAATTTCAGAGTCTGGGATTTTTATGACATTTCAATTTCTTCATTACCGTAAACCAGAGAAAAAAAACAATTATACAAACTGTAACTACCTACCTACCCACCTTGAAAAATGTGGGCAGAGTACATCAAACAGAAATATTTTTAATGATTGCCTTGCTGTATATGTTAAACATTTGTGCAAGACATTTTACCTGTACATGCCATTGTACCATTCTCAGCTAAGAGGATTTGTCATCACTTATAATATTTTGTAATAAATGTTATAAAATTCAGTTTTATTAATCTTTTGATTGCAACTTTTAGAAGAACTTTTGTTTGTTTTGGTAGCTCATGTAGGACAATTTCCAGTTTACCTTGGACTTTCAGTAAGGCGTGGCATTCTCGACGTTACATAATTAGCTTCTGAAATTTACACAGCTTTCCTTCACTGTTGAAATATACATACATATAGGATAGAAATTCAGGCAAATGCCAATTAATGTATCAAATAACCAATAACACTGTCTCGTCCGGCAAAGAGGTGGAGCTAAAGTCTTCTCATTGTTGTCAACAACAATTTAAAGTTCCTGAAGTTATTAATTTCCTAACCAATGACAATCTATTCACTATTTGACAGGCGTTAATAACGTAGCGCCGAGAATGCCACACCTTACTGAAAGTGTAAACTTACCTGGAAATGGTTCTGTCAAGTTCACGACAAGGATTTGTTTATCAGAGTTCATTGTGAAAGTATGGAAATTGATTGAGCTGTATTTTATCTCATCTTTAGATAAGCATATTTGGCTGATCTGATCAGAGACTAGAAGAGATGTGGTAGTAAAGTGTCCAATTTCTGTCAATCTTGCTGTCCTCCTGTCCACTAGTAACTGTCTGAAAACAATTTTTTTAAAACACTGTTTCCAATAATTTTGGTCTGATTTGGTCCCATCCTAAATAATAAGTGACTTTTTAAACCAAAATTAAAAATGAAATAGATGGAGATAACCAGGGACGTAGCATCCGGGGGGGCCAGGGGGGCCTGGCCCCCCACTTTTTTCCCCAACATAACCTTTACTATAGTAAATGTTCATTGATAGGTTGGTTGGCCCCCCCCCCCCCACTTTATAACCATAGTATAAGGGAAAAATTGAAGTGATAGTAAGTTGGCTTTGAAAAAGTTGGCCACTACCCCCCCCCCCCCCCCCCCCCCACGAAATTAGGATTTTCGAGTTTGGGCAACTTTCGAACCTGGGAGAACTTGACAACCCAACACGAAAAAAACCTATTTTGTTGGGTTGTTGGGGTTGGTTAAGAATCAGTTAACCCTTCTTCGACTAAACTAACGTGTCTGTTGAAAGTGGGGGGAAGGGAGGGGCTAAACCTACGCCCCAAGGTTTGATACATAATTTTATGTTTTCTATCTTTGCAAAAAAAAAAGTGGGGAAGGGCTAAACCCCTCTCCCTTGCACCCCCAGTTCCGACACCTATGCATATAGCATGCTCTAGCGTTTCGAATCAATAAGGAGATATTATCCCCGTATGCAAGTGATTTTGCTCCATAAATATAAGGGAAGTTGACGATTGAAAAGATAAAGTCATCATTTTTACCATATAAAAGCATTGTTGTTAGAATACTATTAATATTCAACAAAATGCGTTAATATAAAAGTCTAAAGTCCGTGTTTTTTCCTGTTATGGAATGGGGGATTTCTGGTATATTTTTTCGATAAAAATGTACACGCAATTAATACTGATATTCACATCTACTTCAATCGGTACGTGGTTTCTTATGTACATAGAAGATTTCTAACAAATTAGTGCCCAAATTTGATATTTATTATATCTTTTAATAGGAACAGATATATCAATAATAACATTTGATTCCTGTTAAAATTAGAATAATTTTTCAACATTTTATTTTCTTTGCTTTAGCATGGGGAAAATTTGAGTACACACGGTTAGAAACCATAGAAGACAGCCAAGATGGATATATAAAATCTCCTGGATACCCGGCAAACCATCCAAACAATGCTAATTATACGTGGATAATTAAAACGGGATATTTAGCATACTTTTATTTCATCATTTTCTTCATGGATATCAAAATTTCGCAGACAAATCAATGTAACGACTATCTTCAGGTATTTTATATGGAACACTTAATTTTGAAAAAAAAAATCTTAGAGATAGTTTTAAATTTTACTGTTGAATTTATTCCAGATTACTGCTTCACGCCATTAAAGAGATGTGGTCAGTTTATACACCTATACTAATCAGGGGAAATAAAATCCGGGTGTATTTTGTTTCAGACAAACGGGAAACACGAGAAGGATTTTTACTGTTTTGGAATGGTTTGTTTCTATCAAAATACTGTAATATTTTTTTCCTGATATACGTATATTTTAAAAAATATTTTTTTTATAATTGTATACTTTTAAAACTTTAACAGCATCTTTCATATCATCAAGTTCACCTGTAACAACAACGAGCATAAAACAGATAAGTATGAATTTTTGTAGTTATGAAACTTTGGAGATGAATACAATACAATGTAATATACGAAGGTTGTCCCGTAAAATCGTGGACAAAGCGTTTTTCTCGAAAAGTAATGGGCGCACTAAGCTGAAAATTTCAGTAAATGTTTATTTATCAAATTTAAGTGCATGATAATTTTTTTGATAAAATATAGGCAAAAATAAAAATTTTATTATGCTTGAATATGCACGGGGTATTGTCCTACGGCGCACGGACAAAAAAACAAGCTTTTATTAAAGAATACACAAGTTTGAATTCAAAATAAAAGTTTTAAATACATAAGATATGGATTAAAATTATCCTAATTCAATTCCACAATCAATTTTGTAGTCTTTGTAAACATTTTAAGGCATTTGATTAATTTTTGGCAGTTTCTTGAGCATTCGAAATGGGAAAGTGGTAAACACAACACACGAAAAATGGCGACGTTTTATGACGTTACAGCGCACCGGAGAGCAGTTCCGTTTTAATTCGATGTTGTAATGACACCTTTAGAGACTTGAAATGACCATAGAAGAAAAAAGATTATAAAAATATCACCATATCTTAAGTATACAAATGAAATAGGAGTTTTCTAAGCGAAGTCGTTTTTGATCGAGTCCCTGGGGAGTACAAAAAATACGGACAAACTCCTAATGCAATAGCAATAGACGCTGTCATGCACAGTAGACCGCCGATATGATATTTTCTATTAGTTGAATGATGGTGAGAATATTGTCCGTAACTTACTGATAAATCTTCAGAAGATCGCATGAGGGTGCCAATTGGTTCTTCGACTGTTTATGGAGACTAAAGAATGTGTATCAATGAAATTCCTAAGTCGGACTCATCCAACTTCATTTTCAGCAAAGATAAAACGTGACGCTGTTTTAGACACTTTGACGTTATAATCCATGCGCCGTAAGGTGATACAATACATGGCATAAAATCACATAATTTGTTTATTTATGCATATATTTATCTGAAATTTGCTGTGTATATTACTAAAATATGTACTAAATAATAGTGAAAATTTCAGAACGCAGTGATGTCTATTTTTTACACTGGACAACTTGTCCACGATTTTACGGGACAAGTCTCGTACATGTATATTAAACAAACAAAACCCTTCTGGGAAATGTAAAAACAAATCTGGTAGACAGAATGATGTACGACTTGCGATTCCAACATTTCATCAATTCTGTGGACTGGTGGAGTCAATGCTGATTTGTTTTAACTTTTCTCAAAATCTGTTACTTATAAACAAGGTTTAAATAATTTTTCACAAATTCATGACTCGGATTACAAATAAACCTTTGAGTCGGAAGATCACACTTTTTCTTGAAAGAGAGATCACAGTATATCAGAAATGTAAGCAATATTCATTTTTTTTCCTTCTTCAAAGATGCACAGTCGAAAAGTAAATAACTTTACACCAAAGATTAAAAAAATAATAAAAATGGAAAAATTAAGATATTTCTATTTCTATGACAGATGAAAAATATATATATATAAGACTCAAAATCAGCCATTGTACATTGGAAGAAGTGATCTAAGTATTTGCATTGATGGATTCTTAACAAGTAGTTTTTTTAAAGAGGAGGGAGCCAAGGTAAGTCATCAGTGTAATTTCTTACTATTTCCATTCTTCATTTAAATATAAAATATAATATTTTTTCCCCAGAAGAAGGAGTGTATTTATACCGGGGTATTTCGACAATGTCAAGTTCTATTTTTAAACTTAAAAAAGAGGAAGACACATATACATGTATATGTATTTTGGCACGAAAAAAAAAACAAAACCAAGCTAAACGCAACAATACAAGAAACGTAACTTTAAAAAAAACACAAGAATAAAGAACCTTTACATTTAAGATTTAACTTTTTAACCTACTTTTTAAAAATATAACTTTGGTCCTGACTTTTGAACGGTTAGTGATATGGCTTTCACACACTCTTATCCTTGTAACAAGACCTTTATTTAGAAATCAACAACCTTGACCCTTTGACCTTGACCCTGGAGTTTGACTTACCTTTCAAAAACTTATCCTTGGTCATAACTTTTTAACAAGTGCTGCTATGGCTTTCATATTCCACAACTGTATTTCTTGTGAAAAGACCTTACTTCTGGTACCAGCGTTTTTCATTTGCATTTAAGAAAATTTCAATCTCCGCTTTGTTGCCATACTGGGGCATCAGTCTTTCACAAACACATCTTGTTCGAACTAGAAATGGCTTTTCGAACCCAAAATAAAATTTATTTCATTTCTACATTTGATTTTATTGTATTCAGCTACAAAGGATGTAACCTGTTTCCTCTTCCTGTTCTGCTTTGAGTACTTAGGAGACCAGCCTTGGCATGAATGATCTAGGAAACCAGGATACAGAATTAATCCTTGTGGAACTCCAACATCTACATTCTTTTCATTTGATCGCCTTGCGAATATAATAAAATTTCTCGTTATAACGCCAAACTATCGTGAGTAAACAAGGCTTTTTTTATTTTTAAATTCCAAAAGTTTCTTTATACTGTTTCGAATATAACTTTATACAATGCAACCAACATTGATATTATGCAGATATTCGGTGGATATTGACATTGTAATCTTACACATTTGAACAATAAAATTCGTGCTAAATAAAACAAAAACACAGTAATATTTATAGTACATGTCCATTTACAATACGTCATCAATTAAAGTAATATACGTCATAACGTGCGCCAGTTTAAAAAAAGGTTGGAAATTTATATGGGCAGCGGAAAGGGCAAAAATTACCT